GACCTGAGCCGAAGGCAGTCGCTTAACCGACTGAGCCACCCAGGCGCCCAGGAGTGTTTTATTTTTTATAGATAGCGAAGTACCTAGTTACAGAATGGGGAGGGAGCACACATAAACTGATGATCTGGAATACACCTGGCACTGTGTGTGGAGCTTGACGTTTTAACCACTCTTTGGTGCACTGGTAGTATCTCGTTTCAATAGGTGAGCAAACAGGCGTGGATCAGACGGTTCAATGCCGGTGGAACTACAGCAGAACCGTGGTGGGGACTTGGGTGGCATTTGGCCATGCTTCCCGTGCTGGTGAATCATCTGGGGATCTTAGGAATATGCAGGTTCCGATATGAAAATGTAGGCCTGTGGTAGGGCCCAAGATTCAGTCGTGCTAAAGTTTCCAGGTGATGGCTGTTCTTTTGATCCGGGACCCACACTCTGGAGTGGCAGCGGCTAAAATGAATGCATTGGAGCCAGACTTAGGTGTGTACCCTGCTCTGCCACTTACCATGAGGCCTTGGGTGGGCTTTCAGTATCTGTCCTATTTTTAAAATGGGGGTTAGAGTATTTGTCTACTACTTTGGGAGAACTACGGATGTGAAAGAGAGCCTGAAGTTGCCGACACCTGGTCCTCATGTAACAGATACCGTTCTCCTTCTGCTGGGACCGGAAGAGCGGCCCCCCCACTAGACACTCCCAGTGCCTGGACAGTTGGGCACGTGCTCAGGACATCATGTTGTGTGTACAATTCTCACCCCACAATTTTTCCTACTATAATTGTAGCCTGTGAGCTATATAGGTTGCCTACAGCCCTATTTGAAACTGTGAGATTTTTAGCTTTACATCTAAGATTTAGTTTTCAGAGCCACACACTATGCATTTCTTCATCTGCTAGAGACTCTGGTTCATGTCTGTCTATGTCAGAATTATTTGTGAAAATTTACCACTTTGGTTTGGCGGAAATAGAGAATACCATTTCAGGTTTTGCCACTTGATTTTGTGTTTTGATTTTTCATTAAAAAATATATTTTAGGGGAAAATGTAGCCAAGATATACAAAGATCTTCAGAAGCTCTCTCGTCTCTTCAAAGACCAGCTGGTGTATCCTCTTCTGGCTTTTACCCGACAAGGTGAGAGATGATAAATGATCACAGGTCAGATAGCTAGAAAGAAGAGTAGAAGTTTATATACTATGCTTGTGACTGTGACATAGGACTTTTGCCTCTTTCTCCTCCTAGTGAAATTCTGGTCTTCTAAAACTAAGCTTTAATGTTAATTCCTTAACCATTATTTACTTTCTCTTTGTATTTCCTCAGCATTTTGGGCATCTTTATTGTAGCCCACCTTCCACTGTATCATAATGGTTAACATGAGTTCTTTCCACCTAAGGTTTTAAATATCGTGAAATCAGGGAATAGGTCTTGTCCACTTTTGTGTTCTCATGGCCCAACGCAGGGTCTGGTCCATAATAGGCGTTCAATAAATACTAAATAATGGATAACCTGTAAATTGGGTTTTAAGTTTTTTTTTTTTTAAACATGATTTATTTGGGTTCTGTGCTGGGTATGGTGGATATACACATGCATTCTTTTTTTATGCTAACAACTTTGAAGGAAATTTTATTCTCATTTTATAGATGATGAAACTATTTTAGTGAGGTTTATAATTCATTCAGAATTCTTACATTAGCTACCTCTTACTTATGTTGTAGTAAAAAAATACTTTAAAATCTCAGTGACTTAAAGCAAACACTTAGTCTTCTCACTCACGTACATGTTGTATGGGGGTTAGCTGTGGCTGAAGAAGTGGTCCTTCCCCGGGACATGCTCTTGTAGCCCAGCCACGTGTTGGTTCTTCCAGCTTTTGCTCGGAAGTGATATGCCACTTCCACTCACATTTCACTGCACAAAACCAATCAAAATGGCCAAGCCTGTGGCAGTGTGGTGGGGAAGTGTAATTGGAGGCTAGAAAATGAGAATCCTAATCTACTACAGTCCTTTAGCTGGAACATAACTTCAGAATTATACAAATAGATATGTGGCTTTTACTTGCTGTCTGTATATTGGGATATTTTAGGTCTCCAATTGCATGGGCCAAGGCTGCTGTTACCATAGTTTTCTTCTTTAGGTGGTGGTAATGAAAGAGAAAAATGTGAATTTTAAAAGCCTTTATTGGGTTCCAGTTATCTTTGCGAGTGGAGAACAATATCACATCTATTTAAAGGAGCTAATACTAAATCATTTTCATTTGACTTTGGAAGGTGTTGTTATTCTTTTCCTTCCTTGGCGTGCTTCTGAAATTTATCTACTTCCCTTTTTTCTAGCCTGCTAGACTGCGAATAATAGTACTTGCTAACATTTGAATGTTTGTTCTAAGCACTCTGTATGTATTTACACATTTAATTCTCAACTCAGGGAGGTAGGCAGTACTATTCACCCATCTTACAGATAAGGAAATTGAATTATAGTTTAAGTAACTTGTCCAAAGGTACATAGCTAATAAGTGGGAGCGTTGGGAGCTAGTTTTAAAAGCCAACAAATCATCCGTTTTCTGTAGTTCAATAGAGAGGTTTTTGATGCATTGAGTATTGCTTGAAACGAGGGAGACCATGGGCTAACATTTAGAAGTTGTCAGAGTTATTCATTTGGCCTGTATTAAAAAGTATTTGTCTTTCCACTAAAACAGAGGGAATAAGGGACTTAGTAGTAGCCATCTGGTCAACCTGGGGTTAAAAGTTTGTTGTAGGTGTCACATACTTGGGTAGTGGAGACTACCCTCTAATTTGTCACTTAGGAACAAGTTGGTAACTTTGTTAAATATGTGGGGAAAGCTAGATGTTCTTTACTCAGTGACACCTGTTCTTCTTTACAGCACTGAACCTGCCAGATGTATTTGGATTGGTAGTCCTTCCGTTGGAGCTGAAGCTGCGGATCTTCCGACTTTTGGATGTTCGTTCAGTTCTTTCTTTGTCTGCAGTTTGTCGTGACCTCTTTATCGCTTCAAATGACCAGCTGCTGTGGAGGTGTTTGTATCTGCGGGATTTTCGAGGTGATTGTTGTGATGCCATGTTAATCTCTTTCTTACCGAGGTCTTAATTATTTAGCTTGCCAAAAGTTTTTAGTTGTAGGCTCTTTTTTTTTTTTTTTTTTTAAGAGTTGCAAATAATCATAACCTGTAGCCTTGCTGGAAGGAGATTCTAAGCCTTGTCTACTTTTGCCTGTATCCTGAAAACTCTGCCCAGTCTTTTTTGTGTTCTTCATAACACAAGTAGCCCAGTAGACGAAGTAGAATATTTCAAGATAGAAAAATTTCAGGTTTATTCTGTCTTTTGAGACCATCCTCTGAATGACTTAGCAGTCTGGTGCATTTCATGTATACAGCCTGGGGCACGTTGCTGGGGAAGCTTTATTTCCATACAGTCTCATTTATGGTGACCTGGTGATGATTGTAGCAGTGATGACAGTGGATCTCGGGGGCTGGGGAGACATTACCCCAAATGTAAAAGCCCTTTGGTGAATCAAGATTTCCAGATACAAGTCTAGAAGCCTGATTGTGGAATTTCTTTTCCGCATGTCAGTGTTTTTTTTAAACGGGTTTGACCCTGAGGTGGGTCATGAAATCAGTGTAATGGGTCATTAAAAAAAAAAAACCATATGCATTTTATAAAATAGTTGTAGATTTCTATTTCAGTATGTGTATATGTAGGTATATACTGCTTTACAATATAAAAAATATTTGTGGTTCATGAACCCTCAAGAAAGAGTGGGGGCGCCTGGGTGGCTCAGTTGGTTAAGCGACTGCCTTCGGCTCAGGTCATGATCTTGGAGCCCCGGGATCGAGTCCCGCATCAGGCTCCCTGCTCGGCGGGGAGTCTGCTTCTCCCTCTCCCGCTCCCCCCTCTTGTGCTCTCTCTCTCTCACTCTCTCAAATAAATAAATAAATAAATCTTAGGAAAAAAAAAAAGAAAGAGTGAATGATGGTGCTATGTATAACATAACCTCTTGGGAACTGTAAAAATCTAGCGGGTAGATCCCCTTCCTTCTTTTTCATACTGAGAATATTATGTAGAGTCGTTTGGATTGATAAACTTTTTTTTTTTTTTCTCTTTAAAACCTCAGAATGTAAAAAGTGAATGACCTGGTTTTTCCTTGTCCTCCTCCTTGATTCCTAAGGTCCTTGTTCTACATTATTTATGCCCCTGAATCCAGAGTTCAAAATGTCATTTTGTTCCCAGAGGCAGCAAGTATCCTCTCAAATTAAAAAAAAAAATTATAGTCAGAGAAGACAAAATGACCGAAGTATATAGAAGAACCAGCTGAAAGACAGGCTGTGATAAAAATAGGCAAAAAAGCCCTTTTACGTACATATTCAAATTGAGATACAAAATGCAGTCGTCTCTATCTCATTTCCAGACTGTGGGCCACAAACTTATCTGTAAGCTGAGGGTTCAGATTTTATAATGAATTTCCCTATGGGCATAATGTTATGGGACTGGAGTTTTATAAAATCTTCCTTCCATGCCCATGTAATAGCTTCCCAAGAAGACATCTCTTTTATCTGAACTCTTCATTAGACTTAAAGTTGAAGGGGTCCCTCTTTCCTCATTTCACATATGTCAAGTAAATAAGTATATTAAAAAATACTTAAGTCGTCATGGTCATACTTCTACGAGTTGGGAGAAAATAACCCAGATATGGAAGAAAACCTGAAGTCAGCTTTGCCTCCAGTAACGATGGGCTGCGATGCGCACCCAGAGATTGTCACCCAGTCAGTGTCGCAGAGACTCTGGTTCGAAGTAGCGGCCGTACCCAGATGAGACCAGGGGAGGAGGCGCAGCGAGGGACAGCTGGGGCAGGGAGAGCGAGAGAGGTTTGAGTCAGGTGCAAGGTACAGGTCCTCTGGTGTGTGGTTAACAGATGATTCGTGTTCCTTTTTGTGCTTCATGTGTAAGCTTCAGTTTCCTTAGGACAAAAGCAAAAGTGCTCTTTAATGCTGGATGCATGAAGCATTTTAAATCCTTATTTATTTATTTTTTTTTGTAGATGGTGCTGTTAGAGCTCGAGACACAGATTGGAAAGAAGTAGGTATTAATATCGAGGCTGATGTTAATATAACACAGAAATAATTAGTTAATATGTTAAAGGCATATTATCACTTACGTAATGAAATCTGTTTTTATCAAATTTATTGCTAATTTTAAGTAAATGAAAGTGTTTTTAACTTTTATCTTAGACTCAGTCCTCATTTTCTTAATTACATAGGAAAAGAGAGATTACCGCAGTGATTGTTTTTTGCCTTTACTTAATATAAAACATTCTCTTTTCCTCTGTTGCAAAAAAATTTAAGTTTCTGTGGAGTAGTCCAGCTCTTAAGCTCGTTAGACTCATATGTTATGAAAAGAATAACTGTTGTTTGACACGCAGATGCCTACCGTACAAGACATTGATAGGACTGAGAGAAACGTGGGCGGGGGGGCGGCCGCTAGAGAAGAGTCCTCAGCTGGGTCCTCCGCTCACAGCACTGCTCTTTAGGAAGACGTGGCAGCCTCTGAAATTGGCATCTCCTTCTTGTTGTGGTTTAAGTGGAGTCCATTAGGAACATGATTTAGGTGAAAAAGTAGATTTAAATGCTGTCCCTCCTCCCGCCCCAGACCTTAACTTTATATTTTGTGGCATGATATTCTCAACAGATACTTAAATTTTCCACTTTCAAGAAAAGCTGACCTAAAATTGCGTATTAGTTCAAGAGCTCTAGACTGCAGTCTTGGAAGTGCGTGTCACTCAGCTGTCCTTCCTTGGGCCTGAGTGCTTGTCCAGGGCGGCACAGTTGCTCGGTGGTTAGAGTACATGTGTGTTCGGCCTTGTCTTCACAGCTGCTGCCTTGTTCGTGCACGTGGAAACTGGGGACAGTTCTCTGTGTGCACTGGTTCCTGTGTCTGCTCCAGAGTGTGGGAAAAGGAAAGTGTAGAGAGAGTAGTGGAGGCAAATTGGAACTTCAGGGAAACATCCAGATCACTTACCATATCTCATTCTTGTGTTTCTACAGCTGTACAGGAAGAGGTACAAACAAAGAAAAGAAGCTCAGAGAGGGCGCCATGTGCTGTTCCCGCCATCGCCGCCCCACCCACCCCCATTCGGCCCCGGCCCCTGGCGCCCCAGGCCTTTTCCTCCCAGCTCTCTCATTCCTCCAGGAATTATTGGTGGAGAATATGATCAAAGATTAACACTTCCCTTTGCTGGGGACCCCATCAATTCACTCATCCCTGGGCCCGGGGAGACACCAGGCCAGTTCCCTCCACTCAGACCACGTTTTGATCCAATTGGCCCGCTTCCGGGACCTGACCCCACCTTGCCAGGGCGAGGTGGCCCAAGTGACAGATTTCCCCTACGGCCCAGCAGGGGTTGGCCAACTGACGGCCGGCTACCGTTCATGTGATTGGTTTGTAATCTCACTTCTGGAGCTTGTTTGGTTTTTCCTTTTTAAAACCACAGCTGTCATCTTGTCGGGGTGCTGATCTCTAGTGTTTTCTGATTGTGATGGTGAGGAATGCACTCACACTGGCCTTTCAGTAAATCTACTCAAAGCTCCAGGGGCGCTAGGGCCCAGAGGGTCCTGTATGACTGGCTTGGCCTGGGACATAGTTGGCTCTTGACCTCCCCGCTCTGAGTTCCCCTCTTGAGTGAAGGTTGTTCACTGATAAATGTTCTGCATCAGATTAAAAAAAATTAAGTATAAATCATATGGCAGTCTTAATTTTTATTACAGAAAGAGAATAAATAGAACAGCTTCACAACATTACTTGGAGGTTTCAGAATAATCAGAGAACCTATTCAGTGTCATCAGATTGTTGCGGGGGATTTTGTAAAAATTATTTTTTAGTGGCACCCTTTCTTCAAACAAAATCGTTTGCAGAAGCCTGACTTATAACATGAATAAAAGCCAAGCTAGTTCGGTTGAACTGGACTTAGGGTGGGTGCTTTGGACACCCACCTGCGCAGTCCATCTCCTCTCCCTGCAGCTTGTTCTCAGGTTCTCTGGTGAAACTTCTGGGCTCTGCAGCAGTTCTTGACAACCGTTGGGTTACAGGGAGTCTTGTTTCTGGCTTCTTCTGGAGTGCAGTTATGATTTTTTTTCTTGCGTTTGGAACACTTGGTGCCTAATTTGTAATCTAAGTAGATGACATCTTTTAACATCAATTTTACTGCTTTTAAGTGCTGGTCAAGTACTTGTTTTCAAAGATAGTCTCTTATTATTTGAAGAACATTTTGCTTTTAAGATTTAAAATACACAGAATTCAGGATTTATTTGTCTTACAAGAGAAAGGCCAAACACAACTGTCTTATCATACAACTATAGAAACATGCTATAGTGACAAATGAAAATCTGAATCACAACACAGGAATAAAACACTCTTAGTATATGCAGACAATATTTAGGAATATTGCCAGTGTCTTCCTGCTTTTTTTAAACAGTCTGTTTTGCATATAAGGAAATGGCTTGGAATGTTCTATGCTGCAAGAATATTTTGAGTCCTACGTAAATGTGAAAATATTTTTTTGCTACACGTATAGTCTTTATTTCCATCACAGTGAAGAAAATTCAGTCAATAATAGGATTTTCTAGAGGCCATGCCACCCCTAGTAGCTCAATGTATATGGGCAAAGGATTGGGGCCTTGACATTTCTTTCTGTGGTATTTTGGGATATCTGAGCTATAGGACAGCTGTTTAAAAAATGTGTCCACTAGATGCAGTGTGGCTTTAGTTGGGTCTGGGCTGAAGAATTACCTGAAGCTTTGGTGGGTCCAAGTACACCCTTCTCTCTCTCTACACCTCTCTGTGGCTGGCTGTGGTGTGAGGCTGTGTGTGTGTGTGTGTGTTTGTGGTGTGTGTGTTGTGTGTACCACACCTCTCTGTGGCTGGCTGTGGTGTCAGGCTGCAGTGTGTGTGTGTGTCTGGAGGACATCGTGATGACCAGAAGCACCAAGTACTATAAAACAATGAGTTTGCAAAACGCGGTCATTTTTGAAGGGTCCTCGAGCGGCCCGCGGAGGGTGCTGGTGTCCCAGGGATGCAGGGGCTCCTCTCCCTCCGACACCCCATCAGACTTCCCGGCCGGTGTGACAGATCTCTTAGTTGAGGATGTTGGCGCTGTGCCATACGCCTAAATTTGTCCTCGAACAGTGGTTTATTCTAAATTCTTAAACCAGCCTCCAAGCTTTTCCTCTTGAATGGCTAAATTTATAGTCGGAAGCTTGTAAAATCCTACATTCTTTTCATTCAGCTGAAACCACGGAGCCCTACGTATTGCTGGTAGGTCATGAGAGTGAGATGATGGCTTGGCGGCGGCGCACGCACCGTGTGACTTTGTGACATCACTTTGCTCATATTGGGACGGAGGCGAGATGGTAGCGTGCCCGGAAGCATTTCGGTAACACTTCAGTTCTTCAGTGGCTCGGAGCCTTCACGACTTTCTGTGGCCCCGTATTTTGCCCTACTGTTAATTTTACTAACAGGAGCTCATGCTCTCTCTCCCCCTTCTCTCTCTTTTTAAAATGAGTTTTATTTTTTTATTTTTTTTTTTAAAGATTTTATTTATTTATTTGAGACAGAATGAGAGAGAGAGAGAGCACATGAGAGGGGGGAGGGTCAGAGTGAGAAGCAGGCTCCCGGCCGAGCAGGGAGCCCGATGCGGGACTCGATCCCGGGACTCCAGGATCATGACCTGAGCCGAAGGCAGTTGCCCAACCAACTGAGCCACCCAGGCGCCCTATTTTACTTTTTTTAAGATTTTATTTATCCATTTGAGAGAGACAGAGACCGAGACAGAGCACAAGCAGGTGGAGGGGCAGAGGGAGAGGGAGAAGCAGGCTCCCTGCCGAGCAGGGAGCCCGATGCGGGGCTCGATCCCAGGACCCTGGGATCATGACCTGAGCCGAAGGCAGACACTTCACCGACTGAGGCACCCAGGAGCCCCCCCACCCCACTCCTCCTCTTCATAAATGGAGGATACGGTTTGGCATGGCTGGACATCAAATCATGGGAGGCACCCTCTTCTGATAGGAGGTTTTGTGATTCCCTCTGTAAAAATGGTTGAATTTTGACCTCTCACTCTTGCTTGGGGCTCCAATTCTGAGATCGCTGCTTAGCCTCAGATCTCAGTAATTCTTACTCTGACGGAGCCGGACTCTCCTCCCTTTGCTCCCTGTGCTCGGGGCCGGCGCCAAGACTTGCCTTTCTCCTTCCCTGGGCGGTGGCTGCCAGGTGCTAACTTGCTTCTGCCCTAGACTCAAAGGAAGACCACAGATAGCAGATACTGACACTATCAGAGTTTGCAAATGGGAATCACAAGTGGGGGGACCAATCGGAACACAAACGATGGAAGGCAAAGGGGCATTTAAAGGATTCACACATATGCATTGTAGAAGGAACGTTTTGTTTTTGATTGGTTTTCCCTTAAAGGAATGACTCCCCGGTTTCAGAAATCACGTCCTGGCCATTCCCCTCTTCCTCTGGCCGGTCAAGAGAGCTCTGAACCCAGCATCTAAGAGTCCCGGTCTCATCTATTTTGGCTGCGTATTTTGTCTGCGGAAACAGAGGGAGCCTCTGTGCCCTTTCTGCATTGTGTTTGGTTAATGGACCGATCTGACTTGCTTGTTGCCCAAACTTCCAATTCGTCTCCAACCAAACCCCAAATGCTGCTTTCCCTTAGAGTCCAAATACTAGACCGAACCTCTGAATTTTACCAGTGACTGCGTGGGAGTCGGGACAGCTTCTGACACTTGTCAGTACAGTTAGTAATCAGCCGGCATGCTCTCCAGGATAAAGAAAAACGCGCTATAGAAGTGCACTTGGGCCCTGAACTAGTCCTCCATCTGATTCAGTCACTGCTTGCATCCGCCCACTTGACTTAACCGGCTTCAGTTCGGACTCCGACCTGTGTGCTTTCACCGGTGCCAAACACATGAAGCAGAACGAGCCACGGACCTGTTCCGCGAAGCCGAATAAAGCACGAGCTGTCTGCTCCCTGGTGCGGGGAGGGGCAGGTTCCAAAGGGACACGGAGCACCTGCGGGACATCTTCAGCTGGGGCCCGGCCGTCTGCGGGGCTCTGCGGGGCTCTGGTGTGCGGCACGTGGTCCTGCTCTCTGCTCTGCGCGCCACAGCCTCTTCTGCCTGGTCCTGACGCTGGCACCTCGTCCCCCTGGCTCCCGGCCCTGGTGGCCCTGTGGCCACCTGTCTGTCCCCCCTGGCCCCGTGTCCCACGGGGGATGCCTCCTGGCCCCCTGAATCTGCTCCCATTCCCTTTCAGACTCCGATTCTGTTCCTGGGCAAGTGACTTCCTTGCATTGAGACTCTTTTAAAGACAGGCTTTTCCTCCAGTCTTCACACTTTGTGTACATTTTCCTAGTTTCCTAAAACGTCCTGAACACCTGCTCCCTCCATCAGACTGCCTTGACTCACGTAGCTCATCCACGAGCAACCTGCACCAGCTTGCTTTCCCCGCGAGCTCCTTGCCCGGCAAACTCCAAAGGGAACGTCAGGAGGCCGCTCCAGGGATTCGCTCCGGTATTTGTTGCCATGTGAGTGAAGGCCCGTCCTCCCTGCCTCCTCAGCGGGCATGAACGTTCGGAGGGAGTGCAGTAATGATGAAGAGAACACAGGGGTAACGGAAGAGAAGGATCTGTGTATTCAGTGTCCCTGGAAAGCTGACTTTACACCTAGCTCAGCTACGGTACCAGCTTACCAGGGTGACAGGAGGGAGACCGGGGTGGCAGTGTCCCCCGAGGCGACATCCTTCAATCCCCATTCACTGTGCCCCACCTTAGCACAAACCAAATGGCTCTTCACCGTGTTTCAGCCTCACCCAGTCAGCCTGGAAGGAAAATGCCAGCCTTTCTTTGGGTCGAAGTTGTGTTGGAACAAAGCAAAAAACAACAAACAACCCTTCAGAACCTCTGCCGAGTGACTCCCTTCCTCGCTTCTTTTTTGTCCTTTCCCATTCAAAAATGTCACAGCTATGAAAGGTGAAATGTTTGGAAGGAACATGTGCTACCCATGTGAGAAGACAGTCCATTCTGGGGATCCGTGCTCTCTGCAAGACCGCTCTGGGTCTCGACGCTCGTATGCAGACCAGTGGGAACATTTCTTGCAATGTGCCGGTTATTGTGTTATGTCCTGGATCACGTGTGCGTGGTTCTAGAAATCAGGATGCCTGGCCTGATGAAGGAAGTCTGTGCTACTGTAGCTGGAGTATGTGGGAGATGGAGCTTGGATGGGAGATGTTTTAGGACGGATTATAGGGAAGTGGGAACATTTCAGCCACACAGTTTATGAAGCCACTAGTTTTGCTCAGCAAAGGAGCGGGTCCCTGGCTGGAAAGCATCCACATCAGTACTGTTCTCGCAGCGTGGCCTTCCCTCCCCGCTCAGCGCAGGGCGGCTGGTCTGACTTCAATGTGCGCGCAGAATACTCGGGGAGACCGACCAACCTACAGGTCTGGGCCTTACGACCAGAAATCCGGACTCCTTTGGTCTGAAATGAAGCTAGCTGTGCCCACACTTTGAGAAACTTTGTCGGGCCTGTGACCACTCTGTTGTGTGTTTTGGGTTGCATTTTATTACCGAGAACCAAGTGAGATTGACTTTTTCCGATCCTAATCTCCCGTGCAGAAGGGATGATTGCCTTGAGTGTTTTCTGTGTTCCTGATCTCCCCAAACACATGGGCTTCGTGGTGTTACACCCTGTCCTAGGAGCTTTCTCTCCTCTACTTAGAACGGCTGCAAGGGGAGAGCGTGGTGGCTATGTTCTAACGTCCTGGGCTCAAAACGAGCCCAGGAGGCTGGTTCTGGCACCTACAATGTTTCTAGCACCGGGTGCGTGCTGACTCGGGGCAGCCCTGCACCCTGTCTGATCACGGGAGGCAGTCTGATGGAGGGAGCAGGCTTTGGAAAGGGAGTCGGGACATTTGCCAGCTCTGCAGGGAACTTGTTTCGTCTAATAAGTTGGGGTTAAGCAAGGTGAAAGCTCATTTCTTTACCGCAGGAAGCCTGAGGACCTTGGACATGTAATGTGCACTACCAACCTCAAAACAAGAAATAGAAACAGTGTTTCCTAAACATGTTTGACCATGGGAACCTTTTATAACTGAGTAACCTACCCGTGCCTTGCTGGCAACAGTCCGTGGCATGTCAGCCTCGAAGTCCCTGTCATGGCCCTTTCTCAGCCCGTGCCTCGGACTCTCTCTGGCTCCTCCTCTGTCCTGGAGGAGGGGACAGCCTTCCTGGTGGGAATTCAGAGTTCCTTGTGGGGTGACACCCCAGAATGGCTGGAGGAGCCCTAACCTGACTCCCTCTTTGGGAAGTTGAGGGCATCCTCCTCCTCTGGGAGCTAGTGATGATTCGTCAAAGAATCCGTGGTCTGCCCGTGGCTGTCCAATCCGGGCGTGAGCAGCACTTCAGGACGTCCCCTCCGTTTCTGTTGTGTTCTGGAAGGCCCCACTTTTCACACAGGATCTAATTTCTTTCCACGGTTCTTAGGATCCCACCGGTGGCCACATGGGATGGGGCTTAGCCTGTCTGGCCTGGGGGGTGATCTCGAGCCTGGTTGGAGCTAGCATGGGTAGGTAGTAGGTGCCCCTGGCTGGGCTTTTCTCCTTCTGTTTGCAAAACACTGTCGAAAGATTATTGCCTCCAATGTTGTTGAGGTCCCAGTGCCCGCACCTGATGGAGGGGAGGCTCGGGGCCTTCACCCGAAGGCAAGCAAAACACTAACAAGAAATGTGAAAACTAGCCACACACAGACATTTCACTTGGTTATCTGAGGCAGGGGAGCAAGCATCTGGGTGGGCAGGGAGATGTGATGCCTTTAGGGCCTGAACTGAGGAACCCGGAGGCTGTCAAAGGCCCACCACTGAGTTGGATGAGCTGGAATGTCATGGTGAAGGGAGGGGGAGCACGTATAGATAGATACTCAGTTCCTGGGTCAAAGGCATTTAGAGAGTATATTCTCAGGCCCTCCATTCTGTTCCCATCGGGAACCAAGGCTGAGAAGGAAGATGAGGCAGGAGAAGGGAGAGTGGAATGGAGCACCCCCTGCTCCAGCCCGGGCCAGGTTAGTCGGAAAACAGGCTGGCAAAGGACTTCCTCAGGTTGCGGATGGTTTCGGCCTTGGCCTCATCTTCACTTGGGGTCCCGCGCTGGGAGGTGTCGGAGGTGCTGAGGCTGTTCGTCAGGGACTGGGATTTGCTGAAACAGAAAGGCAAGGGGGGTTGGGGGCGACAGGGCCCGAGACACAGTCGAGAGGGCTTGCCTGGAAGCCGGCAGGGCGAACCCAGTCATCACGAGGATGTGATGACCGGAAACCAGGCATCCCAATGCTTACGTGATGCGAAATGCATCACACACAGTCTTTCACCTGCACGGTGGTTATCGGTGTCCTCCATTTTTAGGTGCAGAAATTGGGGCTCACACCAAGTAACAGGGGAGTGCCCACCAGGCCGGGCTGCTCAGAGGGCAGGCGTTACCGGCCGGCAACTGGCCCAGTCTCCCGCCTCCAGGTCACCTGTGAAGTCTGTATCAGCCTCGGGCTGTGGCACCTCCTCCTGCCCTTCCTGGCACTAGTCTGGGAGTCAGGAGGCCCGCGTTCCGGACCCCGCTCTGCTGTCGCCCCCTCTGGCCTCGGCAAGTGCGTCACGGCTTAGGGCCTCCTTCACCTCACCGGTAAAAGGGCGGGCCGGTCCAGCTCACCCCTGGGCCTCTTCTCTCCCACTTGGGGCTTCAATCCCCACCTTTTCCCTGAAGCCTTTACTACCGATTCCGACCCGCCTTGGGATCCTCAGGGCGCCCGCTGTTTGAGCCGGCCTAGCGCTAGGTGACGGGGCCGTGGAGATGAATCCCCTTGCTCTCAGGGGGCTCACACTCTGGTGGAGGTGACAGACACAGGAAGAGATGCTGTCAAAAGGCCACAAGTGTAAGAAAGCCCCACACAGTCTTGTCATCACCATAAAACCCAAATCCTCTCCCAAACGGGGACCATCTTGTACCCCTTGCTTATTCCGCACGGGCCTTATCCAGGACTAGGTGCAGATTGGGGATCTGATAAACACCTGCTGACTTGAACTGAACCACATAATACTTCAAAGCAGTAAATCAGGAGATTTAAGTGTTTCTAGCTGGATTACTATAGGGTCAGTACTTACTATCCAAAATTCCAAAGCCCTCTCCTGACCTGGGATGAGCTGGGCTGCACCTCTTCACATGGGAGAGGTTGTCTCTGAGACACCTATAAATTGCCAGTAGCATTCTAAGCGCTAACTGTGCATAAACTCATTTTAATCCTCATAAGAAGCCTGTGGGGTAAGTCCTCCTGTCCCCACTTCGCATGTGAGGAAGTAGAAGCACAGAGAGGTTGAGTCATGTTTCTGAGGTCATCCAGCTTTTAAGTGGGAGAGCTGGGATTTGAAACCAGGTGGTCTGACTCTGGAGTCTGGGCTCTCACCCACGGCACCATATTGCCCGGAGGACCTCTTGCTAATACCTGTCAAATTCACAGTGCCTTTCCCCTTGGATCCAACAACACCCTTGCTGGCATCTTCTCTACAGCTGATCCTGCACACGTGAGAAAGAGTGTGTGTGCAAGGTTATTCACGGCCGCCTTCTCTGCATGAGCAAACCACATTTCTGTTTGTGGCAGATGAGTTAGATTATAGTACAGCTATACAGTGGAATACAATACAGCTGAATAAGTGAAATAAGTCAGAGAAAGACAATCATCACATGGTTTCGCTTATTTGTGGAACCTAAGGAAGAGCATGGAGGACACTAGGAGAAGGAAGGGGAAAATGAAGGGGGGAGATCGGAGGGGGAGACGAACCATGAGAGACTATGGACACTGAGAAACAAACTG